CAATNCTCAAATATAATATCAGTAACCAATAATCATTAATAAAGCAGCTCACAAAACTTTGCTTAGAATTAACTTTTTTGTAGTTCGTTCAGTAAAACCTCAATTAGAAAAATCTAATGTATCTTCATATTAAAGTTGCCCTCTCTGTATTTCTAGTCGCTCACTTAGTAATTTCGTCGCCCGGATAGTATTTTTATGTCTGAAATGTAATAATAAAAACCCACATTTTGTAAGCTCGTTCTGGATTTTATTATTGATCAATATTCGTCGTTAGTTTGGTTAATTTTTTACTTAAATTCATACCGCTCAAGGTATTAAAACAGTAGGCCATCATCAGTCGCAAAGTTTGTTTTTAGTCGCTCGTTTTATAATTCCCCAATTAAAAGGACCGTCGACCTCATAAAGGTAGCGGGAAGGCGCTGGATGCAGGCCGCCACCAATTGGATGGATGGAAAACTATGGCATCATGAAGTTTGTAGATGTCGCTTTGTAACTAAAATGTATATGGTCTGATGTGCTTGTCTGTACAATGGGGATTTTCTATAGTTGTTCATTCGTTCCTCTACTTATGTGTATGCATCCGTAAACATTTCAAAGCGAGTGAAAAGGACGTCGTCCGCAGACAACAAAGCGAACCTGTCAAGTGGGTGCGTGTCCCAAAGGATGATGGGCATATTGGGCGTTAAACCAACAGAAACAAAAAGTATACTAAATTAAAGCTTAATACTAGTACTTCATTTCATAGTATGACAACAATCCTGAAATACGCGGGGATACGGAGATAGAGGTCGTTGAATATGCAAAGTTTCCATAGTATTTTACATCACATTAGGTAATAAAAATAGTATTAGGTCAATTAGATTGCTTTTGTTGATCATATTGAGATTGAGAGTATTGTATCATATCTTACTATCGATTCTATCGATTTAGTAACTATGTATACCGAATAAATCATAATCGATTATTCGATTGCAATAATCGATTATATTGCTGAAAATAAGGAATTAAATTAACAATAAAATGATAGTAATGATGGTAATCAATAAAATCGATTAATCGAATTGTTAATCGATAAATCGTTATTTGGCAATATCGATTAATAATCGATCCGTGATCGATTATGCGACAACACTACAACTTAACTGGTAGAAATCCCATTGAAACATGACTGTGTTCATGTCATTGAGGAGCTCTACCTACTCATCGTCACTGTATGATAAGTGCTGGCTTGGACTTAGCGGGCCGGCCTCGTTTTCTTTTTTGTCCAATAGGTATCAGCTTTGCTTCCAGTGGCGGTGTTGTTAGTTTGAGCCGAATTGCTAGACCCAAAACGTGTTTGCATACATATTTTGTTAAAAATTCGGGACAGTCGCCCCGCCCCCATTCGAATTCGCGCGCTGTAACAATCTGCAGTTTTCATTAATAAAGCGTATGAAAATAAAAAACATGAGACCTCAAATATAATATCAGTAACCAATAATCATTAATAAAGCAGCTCACAAAACTTTGCTTAGAATTAACTTTTTTGTAGTTCGTTCAGTAAAACCTCAATTAGAAAAATCTAATGTATCTTCATATTAAAGTTGCCCTCTCTGTATTTCTAGTCGCTCACTTAGTAATTTCGTCGCCCGGATAGTATTTTTATGTCTGAAATGTAATAATCAAAACCCACATTTTGTAAGCTCGTTCTGGATTTTATTATTGATCAATATTCGTCGTTAGTTTGGTTAATTTTTTACTTAAATTCATACCGCTCAAGGTATTAAAACAGTAGGCCATCATCAGTCGCAAAGTTTGTTTTTAGTCGCTCGTTTTATAATTCCCCAATTAAAAAGACCGTCGACCTCATAAAGGTAGCGGGAAGGCGCTGGATGTAGGCCGCCACCAATTGGATGGATGGAAAACTATGGCATCATGAAGTTTGTAGATGTCGCTTTGTAACTAAAATGTATATGGTCTGATGTGCTTGTCTGTACAATGGGGATTTTCTATAGTTGTTCATTCGTTCCTCTACTTATGTGTATGCATCCGTAAACATTTCAAAGCGAGTGAAAAGGACGTCGTCCGCAGACAACAAAGCGAACCTGTCAAGTGGGTGCGTGTCCCAAATTTGGTCGTCCGTCATACGACGCGCCATAATGTAGTGAGGTACAGTGGGCTTCCTACCTAATGGATTCCGAAATCCTAACTTTTCTAAATCTGCAATTTCGAAAACCTAAGTTTTAAAAAATCTAATTTTCCGATAGCAAATTTAGGAAAAAATTAAAATGCTATTTTTGTTGAAATTGACATAAAGTAATAGGGAAATTGAAACATGAATGGCCACTGGGTCTCAACGCACAAAATCCACTGGCATATCAGACAATCGATTGGGATACTATACTAAGTATAGAACTATAGTATAGGGCCTAATAAAACGGATACGTTCCAAAAATCAGCTGGTGGAAGCTTTAATTTAAACGGGCAGTAGGCAGACGTAAGAGTACCTAGTATTTTTTTAAAGAATGACACTTCCTAATATGAATGTATTGAGAGAGAGCCTACTCACACACCTTCATCTGCGACCACACGTGAACCCAACGGGTTTGGCATACTTAATGAGACACGGCTGCAATGTAATTACCATTTTTGATGCACTATTTTACTCAGTAAAATAATTTTGAAGAAAACACCCTATCCATAGACGGAGATAATAAATTCCGTGTCTTATCCTATTTTTTTTAAAGTTACCAAAGTTGAACACGAATTTTCGGATTTCCGTATGAATCACATTTTAAGTAGGTACGTGAAAATGTTCCTACAAGCTTTTTAACATTGTAATGAGCGCCTTCTACCTAATTAACGTATCGTTAAATTAGTCATCAACTGTTTAAATTACTTATTTAGGTAGTATATATAAGAGAGGTTCATCAAGGGTTTATGCTGGTAGCTGAAATGTTTTTCTTTTAGATATTATTGTTTTCAGTGGCATATGACAATATGTTACTGGTGTATTTTGTAAAACAGTGGGGTTCATGGCCAAATGTTCAAAGATGGAAGGACGTTTAGTACTTTTTTTTAATTATTTTTTTTTGATAACTAGGTACTTAGTCCGTTTTCGTATAGGACTCTGTCACTGTAGCTTATGCCAGCCTCGTTATGGATGAAAGCGATGGACTTAGACGGATTTGGTTTTCTTGATCTACAATTTTATTGTAAGAATATCAGGATTTTAGAGTCAACTGTAAGAGTTAATAGCCAGTACGTGTTCGTAAAACTAATAAGCTCTTGGTAAACGGAGAAAAGTAATAAAATAAATAAGTAGTTAGCATTGGTACAACTTCAGGCTACACGTAGTACATTTAATGTAAAAAAATAGGTATCTATAAAAAATGATTAGGTTGGAAAACCCATTTTCGCCCACTGTTGTATAATGTCACTGAAAGTGAAAACCTTGATCGGCATAAGAACGTAACGTAAACGTTTACGATCAATTTCAGATAGGTAAGTAGGTGCTGCCTACGCATGCATACAGCATGCGTATTCCTTTGAATAAAATAAAATTTATTTTATCGTATTGATTAGATATTGAAGTCTGAAGTCGAATGCTACTCAAATGTCCATTGTTATCTCTCTCGAGATAAATCCCAAAAATCATCATAGGCGAACTGCACACCTTGATGTCGTAAAAGTTCTTAATGGAATAAAAAAATGTTTTCTTTACTTTTGTAAACTTTTCAATAAGAATTGTAAAAAATGTTATTGTGAAAATGTTGTCATTAAAAGAAAATTTTGAAAAATTCACGCAGGGAAAGTCGCGAGCAATTAAGCAAGTTATTAAATGAAAAGTATTGAGTTGATACATTTTAATTTCCTTACACTTGCATTGCATCTTGAAACATTAACCGAAAAAAAAAGTTAAAGTAAATTTTCACTTTCCTCTTAAACATTGAGTAAGAAGCCTATAAACTATTAAGTAATCTTGCTTTTTACCGTATTTTTCAAATACAAAAATCTTTATTGTGAAATATGTTTCAGTTTAACACAGTGGCTTCGAAAATAAAAGAAAGCGAATTTCATTCATCTTTCTTATATACATTGTTTAAAAAATGATTTATTTACGATCTTTTATTATGACCTTTTAATTGTAATTTACTAGCTGTTAAAATCAAATTACATTACACTGAAAAAATAAGTAAGGCGCATGCGTTAATGTTTAGGAGTTAGTTAAGAAGCTATACGACTTATGTTATGTACAGAGTAATTTATACCAAAGGAAGGCAATTCTCCCTTATCGAAGAATGGAGAGAATAATTTATGACAAAGACAATAGTTTCTTTGCCAAAAAGATTTATGTTTCTCAGAGTGATTTACGAAATACCTACCATTGAACTTCAACAACGTAACTTTTTTTTTTAATTTTATATACAAAGAATGAAAATCTGTATAAAACTTTGATCCTTTGATATATTCATATTTAATGTTGTTTATTGAAAATTCTGCATTATTTCCTCTATTAGGTATCACTGATCACAGTGTCAATTAACTTAATGTGTACACGTTAGTGACATGTGCCATGTGTCTCATATTTCCAAATTAAGTATCTATGTAGGGTACCTAGCTACAATGGTAGCTATATTACTTTCAATCTTTAAAGTCATTAAGTAATTAACGCTGAACGTTCGAGCGATTTCACTTGCTCTCAATCAGTACTTAGATTCGGTAACAAGTAATATGCCATTGTCAATTTTACTTATCACAATCTGTGAAAACATGCTAACTATTCGGGCCGTTACCACGGGAACTAGTGATTATGCCCGCGTAAATGTGTTTTTATAGAAATAATGGTCGTGTTGAATAAAATTGAGAGCGTAACGAATTTCATTTTCATATGCAGTGCGTTACGTCTTGCCACGTCTTGCGCAGTCGAGTGCAAGAATGCGCTAAGAACGATAATGTCGCCTGCAGGTGATAAACCGTAGTAGGGCCCGCTCCGTACATACGGCAGCGGCGACCGCGCGCGGCTAGCGCGGTTAAAAACAAGCCTGGCGCATTGTACCGTGACAGTCGGCAGAACCTTCGCGGGAGGAACACATGCCCTACCTGTCGCCGCGAGCATGACGTTTTGACGCGCACCCGCGGTCTAATGTTCCTTCCGATCAAAAAGATAGGCCAGAAATAAAAAAAACAAACCAAGTGTTCGCATTTCGGGAAAAAGTGGTTCGCGCGCTTTTTGACATTTCTTTTTTTTAAAACAACAAACTGTTGCAGTGAAAATGGGTCTCAAGCCCGACGATGACAAACGGCCAAGCAAACTGGCCATCATGGATGAGGATGTGTCGGACATACCACGTGAGTATTTTTGTTTTCTCCGCTAAGAATAATGAGTATTTATAAACAATTGCCTAGTGTAATTAAACACGATCATTGATACGCTATAGGATGAGAATAGTTTTATTTAATCACTCTCTTTATGATTGTTTAATAAACCTCATTCATTATTTTAAACCAGAGTTTAAGGGTAGTTCTAAATTCATTTGACAAAGTAAACATTTTGAAAATTTTCCATACCAACAATAGCTGTAAAGTAAAAGTGATAAATGGTAAATGTAAAGTGAAAAGTAATAAATAGCTAAATACTCATACAGTAGAGTTAAAATGGACAGTTATAACGCCGCATTAATCCTCATTAGTTACTACAAGCACAGAACTCGTTAAAATAACCACATTCTCTTTACGACCTAGGCATTTATGCTCACTTTCTTTTTCTTTTCGCATAATTTTACCGTGTGTTAGGGTAGGTAGTTGTTCAAATTATTTATGGAAGAAAACTTCAGATGTTTACTTTTCTTTTTTCAGTATTTTTTATTACTGTCTGACTGCATCGCAGTCTCGTAGGTATTTAATTAAAAGGTTATTAACCTTTATAATAGTATTTTAAATGCACGATAATATTCACGTCCATTTTAAAACCACATTTAGGTTAGTTTTTTATGATACAAACAATAATAGTTTTACTTTTAAAGGTTTTAGTATTATTAAAAAAAGTTGAAAAGAAATAATTCTTTGATTTTTAGATTCGGTAGGGTAGTAACAACCACCACTTCATTAAAGGATTTTTCTCATTGAAGTAATTAATAAAATTAGCAGCGAGCTAAATTAACGTGATAAAGGAAAATCTTTATTTTCTATTGTGTACAGTCAGCGTCAAGTAGTTTGTGACACCCAAAGTATCCAATAAGTTCGCAACTCGTCTTTGTTATAATTGGAATAAGGTTGTGTTATCAACTTTTTGACCACTTTGGGGGTGATTTGACACCGACTGTACGCGAATGTTGACATCCATATTTAATTTTATGCACTTGTTTACATGATGACTCTGTATGGCTAATATACCTAATCGACATCAGACACAATTACTTACATGAGTAGCAAGAAAGCTGTAGCTTAGTAAATAGATACCTATAAATACCTATTTTGTTCATTTGATACAAAATTACCCCGTAAATTTTAAAATAACGCATCATAAGCTGATGTGCATAACCTTAACTTTAACCGTAACTTAGCCGGTGTTTTTGTATGGAATTTGTCACGAGTTCTGACGTTTGTTACTAAGATGGTGCAAACCAGCCTTAGTTACATAATTAAGTGTAATTGAATTTAAGTCTAGATCTTTCGTTTTTTTCTATTGCGTGTATTATGATATAATGATGACTTTTCAAAAAACCCATGAGCTGAAAACTAGGCAGCATGGTCCTTGACCTTAGCGTAGCTAGTGGTTAGCAAGCCTTTATTCAGATATTTTTTTCAGAGATAGACCCCTTGCAATATTTTTATAAATACTTCTTACACTCAGATAAACTGTGTTTAGGTATTAGGGGCAAATCAAGTTAAAGCATAGTGCTATATTCGTGTAGGGTTACCTTATTACCTACTAAACATGTCGAAAATCTAAAAAAGTCCCAAAAACCAGTTTTGCACAGTTTTTTGTTTAGTGTCAAGAAAGATCACAATGGCCAACGATATACTTAATGAATGTGTTTTGCATTTTAATGGCCTCTTTATTACATTGAAATGCATAATTAAAAAAGTGTGTTGTTTCCAAATTGAAATATGAATTTTTAATAGCTATTAAAGATTTTATGTAAAAAATTTAGACAAAATGTGAATAAAATAAATATCAAACAAAATTAATTATGTTTCATAAATTAAATGAAATCCTCCGAAAAACCAAGCAACCTTTTGTAGTAGGAAATGTAATTATTTAATTCTATATTTATGCAACAATCGACATTAAATACGTTATGATGTTATTGCTTTTCCAATTACAAAAGCCGACAAGTTGTATTTATTCGTGAATAGTAGCCTACTTACGATAGGTTATGAATAAATTATACTTTATATTCAACAAAAAACATGTCAATATCTTGCGTATTAAGTAGAACCTAGACAATGAACATGCATTAAAAGAATGAACTTCAGTTTTACTTTAATTTAATAAGGATTTAAAATAAAAATATTCGTTTAAATACCTACATACGAGTAAGGTATTGTTAATTACACAAAGATTTGAAGTATCTCTCAGTAATTAAGGCTCATGGAAATATAATTTTATTCAAACATAATTTTATTCAATAATAAAGTCATTCTGAATCTAAGAAAACGTTTGCACAGGCGATTAAAAGAACAACCTTTACAGCTCTGCACTATCAGTCAATGTTATTCTAGATAAATTGCTAAATTAAACAAAACGAGTACTGTATTAAGTTCTGGTACATACTTCTTACTTAAATTACTGCCTTTTTATATGAACAATTTTCAGGAGTGATCATAGGATTTTTGGAATATATTTTTTTCAGGAGTCAGAAAAAATATACATATTATATTAAATCCATACTACGAGAGTTTAAACCTGATTATCTGATATTGTAATTATATCACCATCAAAAGGTCGTAATGAGGATTTATTTTACTGACATAGGTATTTGGATTAGAAGATGAGCTGACAGTGTCAGCATTTTTACACTAAAAGCACTGTCGCTTTAATACACGAGCACTTTTAACATTATGTTCTTGACAATTTCGTTATGAAGATTAAATATTAAAACCACATAATTTCATCCTCATTCCTAAAATTTTGTAATGTAGGTATGTAAAACTAGAGTCTTCTTTTTTCTAGAAATTATAGACCGTTCGGTAATGATGCATTACCTAGTTATTTTTGAACTAAATAGCAGTTGGAAAACCTTGTATTTTTTGCCAAAATTATTGGTTATTATTTGTGTTGGGGGCTGCCCCTTGTATTTCACAATCAATCAGTGATTAGTAATTACCTCATACTCATATCAAGCAGCAATCCTTTTTATAATTTAGTTAGTAGATGTTATCGTACCATACAATATGTATCACTTGTTGCATTATTTCGTTAATCAGTATTAAGAAATACACTACAGCTTATTTATGTGGCAATATTTCAATACTGTCGGCGGAATTTCAATTAATTTCACACAATTGTCATTTGAGACGAATAATATTATTATATCCTTACCGTGCGACTTCTAAGAATGGTAAACAACCATTTGTTTTTTCAATAAATCTCCGAACTATTCAAAATAAACATATCTCGAGTAGTCGGTACGAAAATATTTATAAATCAAAGTATTTTTTTGACAAAGATGCTTACGAGTATTTTAATTCATCAATTGCATTTAGAACAAATTCATGAAGTCATTGCACCATGCCTTATTTTTTACTGCAGCCTTATCCTTTCAAGAGCTAAGTTGTTGAAACAAAGGTTCTTTGTCCAGGTGCCATTGCTCCATGTGTTTCTTACTTTTATGCGATGTTTTAAACGCGGTTGTTTTATCAGAGTAAACACGTTGCTGTATTACAATTAAAAGTCGAATTAACGATGAGATTCTTGCAAATACAAAAATGATGTCATTATTTCATATTTTTGAAAACTTTTAAATACTTATGTGTTTGCATGCGATAAGTTACAATAGGAAGAAAAAGAATGGTGAGGCTTCAAATTCAGCTTCCACTTCAAGTGGATGGAACTTTTTTTTTTCCGGGGAAAAATGCATTGTATTGCATACCTACCCTGCGGGGACAGGGTAGGTTATGTGGGGCTCACCAAGTCAGAAGGACAAAGGCATACCCACTAAAAAGACCCCGGTGCTCCGTTATTCGCCTAAAGTGGGAAGGAACTGTGGGATTCTGGACAAAGCCTTCACTACCACACAGTCCCTTCCGGCAAGTGGATTGGATTGGAACCTACGTCAACGCGGTGCGGTTACGGCGCCCAAGCAAAGTAAACAGCTCATTTGCGCAACGAAAACAAATAAATCCTTTTATTATCGATAAAATATGTTTATTATTAGTTACATAAAAGTTGACCCTACGCCAAGGTCAAGCAGAATGTTTTGCTGCGCGTGCGCTCTACTTACGAAACTCCATTACCTGCGAGTATTCGATGTATCGTTTGACAATCGACTTGATAACGCGTTGCGAAAGATCTCTTGTATGTGATATTTGATTATTTTCAAGTGAAAAATGCATGTCAAGGATCGCTTGGGCTGGATCTGAGTTAGTAGAAAGCTGAATATCTTCGTGCCACGCACGTACGCTATTATTCGATGTAGGTCTAAGTTCAAAGAGTTCATGTACGAATAAATTAGGTTCACAAATTATACATTGGACAGATTTATTGTTCAGGGTATAATTATGGTAACGGTGTAACAAATCTGTACAAATCTTAGGTACTTTTATGGACAATGAAGTTTGTAAATGCATACCTGTTAGTCACCATCTTGTCTTATTTCTACCCATGCATCTTCCTTTCATTTCTTCTAAAGGCTTATTGTAAAGTAAGTTTCAATGGTGAAGTGAGGTTTAGGTATAAGTAATGTTGTTTTACAACTTGAAGACTGACACCCTGAGCTACTAATGAGTACCTAAATGATTTTTAGGTTTCTAAGGTTATGCGTAAACAAGGTGTTTCCCCACGGAAAAGTTCAATTTGGAACTTCTACTTGATGATACATTAGCTGGGTGTTTGTTAAGGAAAGTGGGGATCGAAAAATGAAACTAATAAGTAAATTATATGTATGACCTAATTACAAATCAGTCTCTTGAAACAACAAAGTAACTAAACATTCATCTAATGAGTAATCAGTCTTTTCCTCTTTCACTCTTGTACACAAACGACTATAAATCACGAACATTAATTAATTTGCTGAAACATAAAAATAGTAGGTAAGTACTCGGTTAGTTCTGATTCTTACTTTCATACCAATCCAAACAATAGAAAAGGGTTAAAAGCCAAAGTTAAAATACACTAATATAACTAA